TTCTAAAACTTGAATAAGAAGAAATGCCCTAATTTGTTCTTTTATTCTTCAACAAGTGTGTATTGGAAGTCTTTTAATATGGTTGATATTTTTCAAAGAAAGAGAATGAAGTACATCTCCTCATGCTGACTTCTAGTTTGGGGGTTAGGAGGAAGGAGGGACAGTCAGAGAATCTAAGAGATGCTAAGGGTTATGAAAGAAAGAGATACTCAGGGCTGGCAGGAAGACAGAGAAGCTCTCTCTTATAAGGCAATATTTGAATAGGTGCTAGGAGGAAATATAGAAGGAGTCAGCAACAAACCTTAGAAAAGAATACTCCTGGAACAAGGCACAACATATTCAAAACTGGAAGTGTAGGGTCAGTTAGAGTGGTGCATGCCTATAATCCCAAATCAGGCCAAACCAATCAAAAAGCTAGTGAGATCACACTTCATCAAGTAAGCACAGTGTGGAAGTATGTGTTTGTCAGTCCTATAACAATACAGGCATAGATATGAGGATCACTGTTTATGCTGGCCCAGGGCAAAAATGCAAGACTAGCTGAAAAATAACCAAAGCAGAAAAGAATTGAGAACTTGGCCTATGTGGTAGAATGCCAGTTTACGAAGCACTGAGGCCCTGAGTTCAATACCAGTATTGCATAAATGTGTCTATACATGCATATGTATATTTATGTATGTATACATCGATGTACATACATGTTATACATACATACGTATATGTACATATAAAATAATATCATGTCTTTTGAATCCAAGATCTAGAAAGTTACTGGAACATAAGGAGAAAAGGAAAAAAGGAGGAAGATAAGAAAATAAGGCCATTGAGCCAGCAGGAAATAACTTATATGGGATATTGAAGGGTATGGAAGGGTAACCTCAATTTGAGATAGATTTAAAAAAAAACTATGTGGAAGAGAACTAAGTGGAAGAGCAGCAGAACAGACCTGATGTACAGCAGAAAGCAGCTGTTCTGCATCAAGGAAGCTATCTAGTAGGTTTTTCAAGGTTTGGGGAAAAAATGGTTTCATAGACCTGAGCCATGGCTGATATATAAGGTATAAGGGCTGTGAAATGTATCGAGACACAAGGACTAAGAAAGCCACCAAAGTTTTAGTGAACTACCAAGAGGTTGACAAAAGTGGGCCTGTAGCAAGCCTGAAGGAAAAAATTGACATTTAGTCTTGAATACATGGGGATCATTTTTTCTTTAGACACACAGTGGGGATATTGGAAAGGTAGTTTTCAATGTTCTCTGGAGATCCAATAAGAGATCAGTGAGGTGTCAGCATAGAAATGGTGTTTCAATCTCAAGACTGATCAATTTATGTGAGAACTCAGAGAAATTGAAAGGACTGAAGTCGTGGGCCATTCCTCCTCTTCTGCGTACATGGCATGAAGAGGAAAGCAACATCAGAGATGAAGAAAGAGCTAAATCAAGAGATGGTTTGAAGAATGTTTCCAAGGAGGGCTCAGTCTACATTGTCAATTGAGAAATAGGCCAAACAGGATAAAGATGAAGAATTGGCCATTAGATATGCCAACAGTGAAGTTATCAGATCTGGACAAAATGGAACTGTGGAGGTGGTATGGAAATCCTGGCTGCAAAGACTCAAGGACTCTGTTCAGGACTTAACACAAAGGGAGAGGGAAAAATAGAGAGATTCTGTAGCACATATGAGTCATATATGAATCTTTCTAATTGAAACTTTAACAAGTATACCTGTTAGGATTCCACTGGATTAAAGTAATTAATGCTTCTCTTGGGAAGTATATTTATGTAATTATTTTTCTTCTTCATTCAACACATATAGCATAAGAAATTGTTGCATATACTTATTTTTAAGAAAAAAAATCTTTCCCTCATCTTGCACAATTCCTTCTTCTGAAGATTGTAACATTTGTGTGGCCTTCAATTTCACTTAAAAATTCATGCTTTGAGATTAATGACAGTGTATTTTTCCTTCCAGGAGTGCTTCTGGGAGACATTTATTGAAATGTTTCTTAATAAACTTGCATAAGGGATTTTCTTGAAAAGAATTTATTTGGAGGAAGAGCACGAGCTGGGTAGGAGTAGTAATAGGAGGAAAGAAATTGATCTTGAGAGCGGATAAGGAGGAAAGCCAGGTAATGAGTATACTGTACCTATTATACCATTCTCTCTGCTTCTGTTTGTGTTCAAAATGCCTATTATGTAGTATTAAAAATGAAGAGACACAAGGATCAATACCGTGATTAACCTGAAAGAATCCATTGAGTGATAACATTTTAGATAATATGTTCTAAGGATAAGGAGACATTAGGGGACACAGAAACTTTTCTGGCACTTTTCAAATCACATCAGCTACTTGTTTCCATAAACAGGGCAAACATAAATGACTTTTATTTTGTACTGATTCTAAAAGTGTCTCTCTTGCTTTAGGATAGGCTTAATAGTGATTTTTGACATTTTAACTGTAATATCAATCTATGGAAATTTAGATAACAAAGTCTTCCTTATCGTTAAAAATAAACCAATATAGAATGGTGGCACTGTTACATTACTTTTCAAATATTAGCCCTAAGTATTCTTTGTTTCTTAGTTACTCAATAACCATTTTATAACATTTTTGTCATTAACACTAATTGTATTTAATTGTTGACCCTTTCTTCCAGGAATAGTTACAAAAAAGGCTGCAATCTTCTTTTTGTACATGAGATATATTTACATTTTATTCACAACACCTGCCACTCACTATACTAAAAGTCTATATATTTGAGACCTATAAATTCTAGTTAAAAAATCAAATCCAGCAATATATGTTTCTTGGGAAGCTTATGGTCTCTTTTGTTGGAATTTACTTCTTTTAACATTTTCTTGGTGTAAACTATGGTGCATGGGAGCAAGATTTTCTTTGTAATTGATACCTAAATGTCTATTCTGCTCTAAGCATCTAATTTGTACTGTGAAAACATATAATTTAAGATTTGTAGCTATATAACAAAAGTATAACAGTTTGCCCTGATCTCTAATTTTCTGAGTTATATTTACTATAATTAAAATTTTTTGCATGTTTTAAACTGCCATGCAAATCAGTATACATCAGAAACCTTTGTATATTGACAGAGACTGGGAAAAGGATGCCTTGTTCTGATTTCAGATAAACATTCTTTTTCAGATCTGCAGGTGCAAGGCAGGCCATTCATAATCCTTGTTTTAAGTCAGTTAGAGTTACAGATGGAATACAGCACTACTACACAAGAACTCAATTCATTTTTACAAGCACAATGCAGGTTTTTAATAAAATGATTGTTGTTAGTAAATTCTAAAGGCAAGTGGGACTTTTTACTTTGAGTATTAGGAACAAAGTATGCTCTGTTGACATAGTGTATGTTTACTAAATCTAGAAAAACACTTTGTTACTTATTGAAACAGGATGGAATTAGACTTGGCAGAAAATCTGTTGCCACAACTATATGTTCCATTTAGGAAAGAACTAATAATGACTATTACTTTTTCCCTTGGTATTCTGTTTCACTTATTTCAACATTAATATGTAGTCAGGAAATAAACCATAAGATAAAAATTCACTCTAATTGACCCAGTTTCAGGTAACTCGACAAAACTCCCTAAAATAACTATTAGATCACTATTTCTGCAACAACTAAAGGAAGTTAGTTTTATTACCAACCCGTATTTATAAGCCTATGACTTGACTGTTTTAATTAGTTGTTACAGGTAGAGACTTGACACATCAATTCAAAACAGAAGTAAATTTTAGTCTGTAAAAGCATTACAACCATTGAATGTACTTGTTAATAAATTACAACTATTAATTCAAGTTATTAATTCAACTTGTCTGGAGTCTTGTATTTGCACAAATAAATATTTGATCTCTATGAAAACGACATCCTAAATTGATTGTTATTACTATTATTAGTTTTGTTTTATGGCTTGTTTAAAAAAAGTTACCACCTTACATCTGACTTTGTATCCACCAATCAAAGATACTCTAACGGGCTGGGAAGGTGGCTCAGTGGTAGAGTGCTTGCCTTGCATGCATGAGGCCCTGGATTCGATTCTTTAGCTCCACATAAGCAGAAAAAAAAGCCGGAAGTGGCGTTGTGGCTCGAGTGGTAGAGCACTAGCCTTGAGCTGAAGAGCTGAGGGACAGCGAGCGCCCAGGCCCAGAGTTCAGGCCCACGACCGGACCCGAAAAAAAAAGATACTCTAAGCCCTTCTCAACTGCTAGACATGAAGTTTCTTTTGAGACTTAGGGAGGGCAGGTGTTGGCCTCACTTAGCCAATGGAAGAAGACTATAAACTTTGTAAAAAGGACTGAGAACTGTCAATGTTGTTTGTTTCCCAGAATGAACTCAATACAGATTTCTTTCTAAAGAAAACAAAAACAACAACAACTACAAGGTACAGTGGTAGTAACTTAAAGCCTAAGCATATTTAATTCACTCTATTAATGAACTCTATGATAGAAGAAAGTGGTACAGTGCCGTTTCTTTTTTCTTTTATAGACTAAAACAATGGAAGACACGTTCCTATTATAAATCAGCTCATCCACAACCTTGAGTCGATTTCAAATGAGTAGCTTGTGGGCCCAAATATTGGAGAGAGGACCAGCACAAACGAGTACAAGACGTGCCCTCAAGGATGTTCTGGAACCTTCGAAACTGGCTAATAAAAATCCAACCCCTCCTTTCCAAACGCTTCCCAAGAACTGCTAGCCCAGCACCCTGGTGCAACTTCCAATGTGTCCTAATATAGTTAGCCCTTGCTGTCACTGCGAAGCGAACATGCTCAACTCCTGACCTTTCTTGAGGCCACCTGTATTTGAGGAAGCTGCCCCACAACTGACCTCCTCCTGGTCTCAGGAGTGACTGAGATTGACATCTGCTGCTTACCTGGCTGGAGCATCCCCAGCTCTTCCCGTATCCCAGGGGGTGGGGGGTAAGGGGGGGAAGGAGTGAGGGGAAATGAAGACAAGAAAACAAATCAAAACAACTTACCACTTCGGCTCAGTCCCAGAACAAGTGAGAACACCCACGCCGCCCGGAGGAACGAGACAGGACCTCGCTGGCAGTTTTGCAGACAGACAAATGCAGCAGTCAAAAAAGCCAGGGCCGAGCGGCACATCATGCAAAGCAGCCCGCCCCGCGCGCGCTGCCTGGCGGCTATCCTGCGGCGCGCTCGCGCCTCGCCTGCGGGGCGCACCTCGCGGGGCCCGCGGGCCGAGGGTCGCTAGGACCTTTCCCGCAGGCCCGGCAGCTGGATCCCACGGTTCTGATCAGGAGGTGCAGATACGTGGGCCTGGGCACCGCTCTGCATTTCAGGGCCCTAGCGGCCCTCCCAGCTCTGCGAGGCGAGACCCACGATCTTGGAAGGAGGGGGGAGAGGGAGGTGGTGGAGAGGGAGAGCGAGAGAGAGAGAGAGAAAAGGAGAGAGTGAGAGAGAGAGAGAGAAAAACACCTCCTAAAACAGCCGAGGGCGAGCCGCCGCGGCTCCACAGTCCGCACTCCCTCGGACAAAGAAAAGAGCTTTTGTTTTCTCTCCAGCCGATGGGGCTCCGCTGCATAAATCAGCTTAGCGAAGAGCCAAACACAATCAAACCCAAACAAAGCCCAAAGCTGGGGGGGGTGGGGTGCGGTGGAGGGGGGGGTTGGAAGGGGGGGGAGGGAAACCACCCTAATGTAATTCACTGGGTGATGTTGCTTTTGTGGGAGGGGACGCCTCGCCGGGCCCGGGGAGGGAGCGGGCGAAGTCGAAGGCGCATCCGTCGGCGCGAGCTCTTCCACAGGTGGGCAGCGAGGCCAACTCCGCTGAGTTACAGCCTGGCCGCCTGCTCACGGAGCAGCGGGCGAAGACCCGGCCTCCAGCGTCCCGATTGGCGAGGAAGGAAGCCCCGGGGTGGCGGGGGGTGTCGTGGACGGGGCGGGGTGGGGGTGCCAGCGGCCGCTGGGGAGGAGGCTCCGGGCGCTCCTTAGGCGTCCGCGGGCATCGTAGGAGACCTCGCCGCGTCCTGCCGGGCGGGGAGTGGAGCGCACGGCAGCTAGGGAGGGAGAGAAAGAAGAGGTTCGGCGGCGGAGGTCGGGGAGGTGCGGGAGCTTCGTACCCTGGTCCTTTCGGCTCCCAAGGAGCTCCTCGAGCGTCCCGCCCGCCCAGAGCCCCGGCAGCAGGCGCGCTCTGCGTTGCACCCGGTGAGGGGTGCGAGGGAGGAGGCGAGAGTGATGATAGGTGGGGGTGGGGTTGTTCTGCCCTGTCCCCCGCACTCTTCCCTTCCCCCCCACCCCAAAAAAGGGTTCCTAACCTGCTGGTAAGCAGGGCGCGCTTCGGGGCCTCTCGTTGCTAGGAAACCTCCCCACGCTATAGCTGTAGTGCGCCTCGCCCCGGTCGCCTGCCGGCTCGGTGGCTGCCTGGGCTGCACGCAGGACGGGCTGGGAGCAGCGTGGGCGGGACATTGGTGAGGCATGAAGTCACCGCGGCCCACACTCGCTCTTTGTTTTGCGCGCTCTCTCTCTCTCCCTCTCCCCCTCTCTCTCTCCTCTCTCTCCCCCCTCTCTCCTCCCTCTCTCTCCCCCCTCTCTCCCCTCCCCTCCTCTCTCTCCCTCTCTCTCTCCCTCTCTCTCTCTCTCTCTCTCCAGACTCCTTTGGATCTGAGGTTGCCATTCCCAAGCGTCCACGAGAATTCCCGAGGCGTTCACTGCGCAACGGGAATCTCAACGATGCATTCCCTTCCCTGCTGAAATCCTTGCACACCCTCCAATGCTTGCCCAGGGAGAGGGGGGTGTGGTGAGGGAGTCGCTCAGCGCCGGCGGCAGCTGCGAGCTACTCCAACCTCGCGCCCCCCCATATCCTCTCCCCCCCACCGTGCTTTGTGCTCCTTTGTTCGGGGGGTACTCATTGCCCCGCAGCTGTTGCACGTAAAGTGGAGTCCAGGGCCCCTCCTCCCTCCCCCCAACTCTCTCGTGAAGGAGAAAGTGGTACCTTGCACACTCTGCTTTCAGTGTTAGGAGTGCACCCTCTTGTCCCATCCCAAGGCTGTCCCGGGCTTCTCCAGATCTTGGAAAGTTGGATGAGTCCTTGGGGGGGGGGGGGGGGGGGGGGAGGCTGTTCCAGGAGCTACTGGCAGAGATTTCCAGCCGCTCCTTCTAGAGCTTTCAGTCCTTGGGCTGGACAATCTTGCCTTTTCCCAGGGTCTGTTAGTGGTTCTGGGCTTTTGCTGAGTGTTGTCTTTTGACCTTAAACGTCAGACCATCTCAGTAAACTGAATAAAGAAGTTACAAACCGCAGCAAAGGAGCGACTGGAGAAGCCAAGGTGAAAGGAAGAGCATTTCTGCCTGCTTGGAAGCTGAGACATTTAGGTTTAGGCGTGGGGTGGTGGTTTGTGGGACAAGAGGGCGCAGCGTTCCTGCTGGGGTCTTGTCTTTACTACTGGAAGCTGTCAGAGGAAATCCAGGTCCCAGGATTGGAAACCAGAACACCCTTTCCAATTTGAGACAGGGTGATGATGATGGTTCCCCTTTCTCTCGGGGCTGGGTGGTTTCCCCATCTTCAAGTCAGACCTCTGATTTTTCCATTTGTACCTAGGGATGTCTGTTACAGAGCACTGGCCTCTTACAGGCATTAGACCAGGTCAAGGTGAATGTGCAGGACTTTCCCTTCTTATTTAATAGTTTCAGTCTCCTCCCTGGGTTTAAAAAGCACAAGCAAAGGGTAGACTCTTTTTTGTATTTTTCTTCTTTCTGTTTTCTAATTGTTAATCAAGTGAATGGAAAGTACCGGGTTAATAAACCACAACATGGAAAACTCCCCCATTTCAGGTATGGACCCCCCCCCCCCCACACACACACACATTGCTTTATAGACCCAGAATTCTTGACTTAATTCATTCTATACCTGTGTGTGTGTGTGTGTGTGTGTGTGTGTGTGTGTGTGTGTGTGTTTGTGTACTGGGGCTTGAACTCAGGGACTGGGCTCTGTCTTTAGCGTTTCACTCAAGGATCATGTTCTATTACTTGAACCACACCTCCACTTCCAGCCTTTTGGTGGTTAAGTAGAGCAGGAATCTCACTGAATTTCCTACCTAGGCTGGCTTCAGATCTTCCAATGAGAATTCTCAGATCTCACTTCCTGAGTAGGATTATAGGTGTGAGCCACCACTAGGTGTCCAAAAGGCTGGCACTTTTGAGAGATCAAAGGCATGCTCCATACATTAAGGACTGATTCTTGGAAAAGAAAATTTCCACCATAGGTATTGTGCTCTAAACAGGTAGCCACTCCATCCAAATCCTTTTCATTTTCTTTCTTAAAGTTTCAACATCTGTGAGTTTGGTTTTAGGAGTTTTAAAAGGGAAAGATTGGAAAGTAGCTGGGATAGGGGTAAAAATTTGAAAATCTGAATTGTCCTCAAGTTCAAGATCTGATAAGTGATGCTTTCTTTGGGCAGTTTGTCTTTTTTTTCCCCCAGAGTATAAAAGTCATTCAGACCTAAGGACTGCAGCTACCCTTGTTGAGACAGTGCAGTGTTTCAATTAAAACAAACAAACAAACAAACAAACAAAAACAAATCAAGTGGGGTGCCAGTAGCTCATGCCTGTAATCCTAGCTACTCAGGAGGCTGAGATCTGAGGATTCAGATTCACAGGTTTGAAGCCAGCCTGAGCAAGAAAGTCTGTGAGATTCTTGTCTGCACTTAACCACAAAAAAGCTGGAAGTGAAGGTGTGGTTCAAATAATAGAAAACCATCTTTGAGTGAAAAAGCTAAAGGACAAAACCCAGGCCCTGAGTTCAAATCCTAAGACCATCACAAAGAAAGAGAAAAAAGAAAGGAAGGAAGGAAGGAAGGAAACTAACCAATTCTCTTATTCCCCCAAGAATATGTATGTATGTACACTACACTGTGAAGTGACATCCCATACAAGTTTCATGACATATTTTTTATTGTGAAAATACCGTACAGAGGGGGTTACAATTACATGAGCAAGGTAATGAGTACATTCTTATCAAGCATTGTTGCCTCCTCCTTTGTTTCCCCTTCCCATCCCTTCCCATCCCCCCCTGCCTGCCCCTCTCACCCCACTTCCTGCACCCACTTGTAAAGTTCATTTTTCGACATAACGACTTGTACATCTCATTGTTGGAATGGGTCCACCTCTATCTCTATTTAAACAATTTGTATTTTCCCTTCCCCTCCCCAAAGTATACCAACATCAAATACAGTGAAAATAGGAGTTATACCTTGGGAGAGGGGCATATAAGCAACAAAGAACTCATAAATATCTTAGAAACAATAGCAAGAAAGAAAAACCATTTGAGTCCTTATCTTGGGTTTCATTTCGCCTAACATCAACTTATCTGACCAGTTCTGCTTTTCTCAGACATATACTAGTTATTGCAAATAAGGGAAACCATGGGACCTATGTTTTTTGGGGCCTGGCTTACTTCACTTAATACAATTTTTTCCAAATCATGACATATTTTTAAAATCTAACTCTTGATGCTGATTGTAAATTACAGTTACAATATTAAACAGAATTAACATGTGCAAATAGGAATGTATGCAACTGAATCATCAGTGAGGACTATATTAACTTTTTATAGCTCTATATTTTTAGATGTTGATATATTCTAAATAATTAGGTAACTGCATAGGGAAGGCAATAAACTGAAGTGCACATATTTTCTTCAGAAATATTTGAAGCCCCCCCCAAAGAAATATTTGAAGCCCCTTAGAAAGAAAGAACTGATGCCACATGCAAAATAATAAAAATAAAATAATAATATTAATATGTCAGCAAGTCAGTATATATAGGCTGCAGCGCCTCTAGTTATCAAAATGAAATATGATACAATGTCTAAGATATTAGGCTGTGATCCTATAACTTACAAACAGGTTATTGATATAGTAAGGTCTATAAAGATAAAGAAAATTCTTCTGAAATCCTGCAAAACATGTGTTATTTCTTTATAATAAATATGACTAGTGACCTAAGACCAGATTTCTGTTTGCTTCTAATAAATGTCACTCATTATCAAAACTCATTGTTTTACCTGCAAAAAAATGCACAGAATGTTGTGAAGAATGATAGTATTATCTTCATGATATGACCTAAAGAATTTGCCAGAGGGGGAAAAAATCTTCAAGAACATGATGACTAGACTAATTTCTGTTTTTCTATTGTTTTGCTATCTCCCTTTGAAGTTTCTGACAGCTAATATTTTATGATTTGTGGTAATGAGAGAAAATGAAATTAACACAGTACATCTAAAAATAACAGTTTAGCTATTCATTCCAGCCTTTCTAGCGTCAGATTTTTCTTGAGTTGTTAATCAGCCATAAAATTAGATGACTCGTTCCTTCTCTACTCCTTTAATCTTGAGTTTTCACTAAT